CCCCAAAACCCCAAAACCCCTGGCTAGTATATATATTTAAAAATTGCAAATCAATATATTTTAAATTAATAATTCAAGAGTAGCCTTGATTAAATGAACTCATTTTCAGTAAATACCGAAAAAGATGATGTACTACTATAACCTGCAAAAAGCAAATAATCTATTTAATTCAAGTTTAAGAATACCCTTGATTTAAAGAGTTAAAATCATTTTCAGAATAGAAACATGAAATTAAACAAGTAACTATCAGGAAATACTTCTTAAGAAAATGTGACTTCATAAGATTATTCTAGTATACTTGAGATGAGAAGTAGTTAAGATACATAAAGTCAAATCTTTAATAACAGACTAAAGTAATCATCAAATTTTACAGATACTAATCTCTCTAGTTTACTTGATCTAAATAAGTCTTTGCATTCTTAAAGTGACTCATAAGCAGTAGAAGGAACATGAAAATTTGAGTAAACAAAAGATTAATTACCGAAGAATAATTACGAAATGAGGCAGTATTTAAGTTAGCAAATTTTAAGCATTCAATCACTGTCAAGTAAACCTGATTAAGATAAACTTTAGGACTTATTGATGAGTTATAATCAGCAAACTCCAACTTTTAGTTTTTCTGCTTAAAATATACCCAGCAATATTGAAACTTAAACAACTAATGATAGTGAGAATTTTTCAATCTCAAATTCTTAAAATCCACAAGGAAATGAGAATAATTAGGATATCACATGCAATCAGAATAAAATATCTTAATCTTCAATTGAAGAGAAATTTCTAATGGAACTTTTATCTAACAATGACAAGATGACTTAATTTTTAGAAAAGATAAAAGAAATTTAAACTCAGAAAAATTTACAATAATCCCAAGTTGTGACTTAGATTAGAACTTAAATCAATTAGAATGTGGATAATTTTCCAAAAGAAAGTTACAATTAAGCTTCTAATAAATAGGACTAAAGAGATGAATAGCATCAACAATAAGTTATTACTAGTAACTAAGATTTTCTAAAGAATAATGATAAATTGAAAGGGTAAAATTGAACTGTAGATATTAATGAGCTTATTATGACTGTATAAAAGATTAAAAGTTAAAGATAGTAAATTTTTAAATAAAAAATTGAAGAGTTCAAGCTATATTAGAAAGATCTGGATATATATCTAAACAATCTTGATCAGATTCAATCATAACTTTATGTCTAGTACAAGAAATAGCATCAAATTCTTACAGAGAAGTAGAGTATTATGTATGGATTAAGTTAAGGTTTAGGAGTTTTTTGTCAAAGCTAAATTTAACTTGACAGAAATCTGTCATAGCTAACTTAAAAGCAAAATAGGAGTAGTATACTTAATCCTAGACAACTCTGAAAATAGGATCATAAGAAAAGTGATTGATTTTTTAACAATAGTAATTATTTTTAATGTGTATTATTATATTTTTAAGTGTTATTAATTTAATATTAACAGCTAGAAATGAAAAAGAGCTCCACACATCGAGGATCAACAACATCAATTACACAATCAAAATCTTCCTATAATATCTCCTAGTAAAATCAAAACCTAGTTGATGGATCATAAAGTAGTAGATCAACATCTAACAATGCCAAATCTTCAAATAATCAATAGTAATAATAGTTATAATGGACACCAGACAGAACAGCAGTTCAGAATTTCAATATTAATAATCTTGGCATTAGCGGAGGGAATAGCAACTGGCAAGCTCTGATGGGTACTCAACTAATAGGCAACCAAAAGGTGTAGAGCAGTAGCTAATCACAATTAAACGCTTAGGCAATTGCAGCCCTAACTAAATAAATATAAAGTCGAAGTCCGCTAGTGAAAGATACAACTAATACTAGCTATACATAAGATGTTTCACTTGATAGATCATAAAAAAGAGATCATAGCAATAATGCCAGTGTCTCACCTTTAAGAACATCAAACGTTTCAAATTAGTAAAACGTTTTTTATCCGAATCAATCATAGAATATATCAAGAAATTAGAGTCACAGATCAAGTTCTTCCAATTCCTTTGTGAATTTGCTTAACAAAACTGCAGGTATGATCAGTCAAAACAATATCAATAGCAACAATCAGAATCAGAATCAATAAGTAATGCAGGCTTAATCTAGCAGTAGTTCAAATCTCGTCACTTCATCATCAGAAAACATTAGCTTCAAAGAAAAAGAGAAGAAATATTAAGATAAAATTAAATAGATGAAGCTTGAGAACAAAAAATTGTGCAATTTATTAGAAGAATCAGAGAAACTATTTTATGGGAAACTATAAGAAACTAAGAAAGAATCATAAAGCATGAGTTCTATCATTAAGCACATTTGGCCACTCGTTAAGAATAAGAAAGAAGTGCAGTAACTACTAAAAAATGCTAATATTCAATAGTTTGAGGAGTAGGATCAACTCAATCAAAACTATAAATAGCAGAAAGTGCAAATTGAAAGTTTAGAGGCTAAACTACTACAGTACAAAAAGAGGGAAAAAGATGTGAAAGAACAGTTGGAAAGGGAAATGACAACGAGAATAAAAGCAGAACATAAGATTGAAAAGCTAAAGAGAAAGCTTAAGGAGAAATAGGCTTATGAATAAACTGTTAAAAGCTACATGCATGATTCTAGAAATACTTCATCATATAGAATGAGATCAAGTTCAAATAATAGACAGCAGCAAACTTCGAATAGTGGTGCTAATATGAGATCTTCTGATATCAGTACAAAGCCCTCTTCTAATATTTAAGAACACGTTGAGGAACCAGTGCCCTCATTTTTGAAAGCAGCAAATTTCTATCCAAGTCATGAATAATCAGTAAGTGATGAAAACGATTTTTTGAATGAAACCTTTTCCAAATCAAGTGGTAACGTCATAGGAGCTGAAGATCAAAGAAGATTTAGTGACATGATACTCTCAATATGAAAAATTAATTAGCTGCAAAAAGACATCTTCATTTACCTATAAATTACTCTAAAACATTATGCTCGTAATGATGAATGCCTCATATATGTGAATTATAAATTATAGTTATAAACATAAATGTTTATTTTCACATTTTATTTCTTTCAAATACTTTAAAAAATTCTTGATGGGGTTTTGGGGTTTTGGGGTTAATAATGCAAAAATGCTAAA